TATGCTTATTAGAGGGAGCCTCTCTATACAAATATAGGACTATTAATTATGATGGAATGAAATAATCTATGAGGGTATAGGTAATGTCTCCTCACGAATGTAACTACTATTTATAAATAAAATAGTTAAAAGGATCATAAAGGGAGAGAATGATAGAGAGGGTAATCTATATTAACCCTGTAAGATATTATATCGGTGGATATTTTTTTATTGATCATAGGTCAAGTTCCATAAGGTTAATATACTATACCAGCGTGGTGGGAAAAAATAATGTGGCATACCCCATTATAGCATACCCTTATTGATAGAATCTAGTGTCTCATACACGAATTGGAAAGAGAGATAGGATTGACCTATGATCAATAGGGGTTTATCATAATTTTAGGCTCGACATTACCAAGAAGATAGCTATTGTTATATGGTAATTGGAATATTCCCAATTAAAAAAATTATAAAATCGTTAAGGATTGCCTTTCTTAAGACCTATAGTACACAATATCTATGGGAGATATGGTAGGAAGATATAATATCAAAGGAGTTATTGGTTAAGATGATATGGACTATAATGTATCATGATCAATTCATGAATAATTTATCAAGAAACACTATGTCTTCTTTATAAAAGGCCCTATCATGCTCTAATAAATTCATGTGGAAGACATCCACCAAGTGGCTCAAATAGTTTGATAACTCAATCTCTCCCTCTCGTGAAAGGACATGCCCTAGAGATACCTTCATAAGTGAATTTATACTCGCTTATGATAAAATGGCAATGCCTTTGCATTAAGATTATATTCATAAGAAAAATGAATATAAAGGAGTATATCTACAAGGAGGCAATCCCTCTTGGTGATCGAAGTGGTAGTCTTGACAAACTATTCACGAATTGATCATGATACATTATAGTCCATATCATCCTAACCAATAACTCCTCTGATATAATATCTTCCTACCATATCTAAATATATTATCCATGATAGTATAATATCGATCAACTAACAATATACTAAATCCTATTTACATAGTAATCGGATAAGGGTATGACATTATAAAGGTACCTCACGCAAATATGTTTTTTTGACTAGAATTGTCCTATAACATATAGTATCATACCTTTTAATTATGGTAGTTATTAAGCAAGGGTAACTTATAGCAAGGGAGATGGCCTTATATAGGTTCATTATCTATAATTGTCATAAGTATACTTCCACAAACGGTACTAATAATCACGTTTACCTATGCAACTAGTGACAAGATATAACCATAAATCCTAAATGATAATACGTAGATCCTACTTATTAAGTTGGTATTTCAAGATTTTGGTGCAATCTATGGCAACCTATACCATTTCTCACAATAAAAATATTAGTGTAACCTATCATAGAAATTCTAGGATCTACATTTGTCTAGACGTTAATCAATATTTGAAAGTTACAATAGGAGTACCCATTGGAGCTAAGCGTTCCTAATATGAAAAACTTATTAGGGTTTGGTATATTATAATTGATAGGGTAGCCCAACATTAAATTGTTCACCATCATCAACCTGATTTTATAAATCGGATATCTCCTTAGGAGTTAATTATATTGATGCACATATTAAGTAAAAGATATCCTTAATGAAAAGCCTATATATTGGTAGGCGACGTTAGATGTAATTAATGATATCCTTAATAACCTACATTCGATACTCATGAGTATTATGATTCCTTGCATATATATAGTTCTATCTCTCCACATGCCAATATTAGATATCAATATAAATGTCATGCCCAATGGATATATTGTTCACATCAACGTTAATCTAAGGCCAATGCATCTTTATTAGTTCATGAGGGGAACTTTATTATATGTAAATCTCCATATATCGATTACTATGTCGAAAATAGGCTATATCTTCAATTATCATCCTTTTATTCTAAGTCATAATATACCCAAGTCATTGGGAGTTCATGCTAGAATCAATTTACTCTATTTCATTGGCCGATGGTGGGAATAGTAAATAATATTAAAATTCCAACCTTTAGAGATGAGTTTAAGATGGTGATATGGACTAGGCACTACGATGGCTCGATATTAGTGTAGTTAAATTGGTAAGATTTGCCATTAATATTCTATATTATGGTAGCAAATGTTAATTATAACCTATAAAGTGATTATTGGTAGGAAGATTATAAACCATTCTCTATTAGGTGGGAGAGTTATAATTTGGCCATATCCTTTATTGTTAAAGACCCACATCTCATAGAATAATAGATCTATGATAGAACATGGGCAAACTATCTATAGGCTGGAGTATGAACATTACCTTAGATAAGAGGACGTCCTATTAAATTCCATCGATTAATATACTACATTTGGTGCAATTTGCTAATGGATAAGTTTACCTAATATTTGAGCTTGCTATTTGACCTAATTGAAATAGCTCCTCTTCAATAATATCCCTAAATATCCCTATAATGCTTATTCTAGACATATATGATCTATCCCTTCTATTATGACTACATGTATTATCAAAATCATATAGATAAGTGGTAATAACCCTAGTTAGGTAACATGGCACTAACATGGTAAATATTTTTTAGTTAGGTAAACTTGAGGGTATCCTTAGAGAGACATTCTTAAAGGGTTTAGGGCCATTTTGATACTCATCAATATTATGAATAACTATAGCATTTGTGTTATTAACACATTGAGAGTAGACTATTTAGATTAAATTGGACTCCCATGGAGAGTATATTTATTAATAACCAATAGCTATATCATATAATGGGTACCTAACTAGCATGTTGATATATATGCACCCGTTTATCTCCCTCTCCTCTCCCTTGAAATCAAAATTGACATAATAGGACCTATTGATATCCCTCAAATGATAATAGTATTATATAGCCGTTTTGCATAAGGGTGACCTAACTATGTTTCAGGTTAATTGCCTTCGTATACTTTAAATCCATAGTTAAATAGCCAATGAATTGATCATGATACGCTATAGTCCATATCATCTTAACCAATAACTCCTTTGATATATTATCTTCCTACCATACCTAAATATATCATCCGTGATAGTATAATATTGATCAACTAACAATATGCTAAATCCAATTTACACAGTTATTGGATAAGGGTATGCCCTTATAAAGGTACCCTCATGCAAATATGGTTTTGACTAGAATTGTCGTTTATCATATTACCATACCTTTCAATTATGGTAGTTATTAAGCAAGGGTAACTTATACTAAGGGAGATGGCCTTATATAGGTTCATTATCTATAATTGTCATGAGTATATTTATGCAGAAGGTACTAATAATCAAGTTTACCTATGTAACCAGTAATAGGATATAATCATAAATCCTAAATGATATTATGATAATACCTATGTTTTCTAAACTTGATATACTATATTGTAATATTGGAACTATAATTGGGATTGCCCTAGCCTACTAGTTATGTTTTGAGAAGGGTTTAAGATACTGATATGTCTAATGTGGAATATGCACTTATAGAAATGCATGATACCTATTAATGTCAAAGGAATCCTTAGTCAATAACATGGAGCTTTGGGTTTTTATTATGAGTTCTTATAACTAATACTTATCAGCCTATGTTAAAGGAATATTGGGTCTAACAATATCATTACAAAGAGATAGGCTTGTATTAACATATAGACCATAATTTTCCTGATATGTTACATAATAAGCTCATTAGTATCATGGGTAATATCATGGTTAATTACCCTATCATATTTAACATATTAGGATAGGGTTATATATTTACTAGCTTAATAGATATTGTGAGTTATGATATTATGGTGGTCATATGTTAAATTATAGATTAATACAAGGAACCCTTAACCATGGAAGTAATATGGGATATACTAATGAAAAGATATTAACTCGTAGGGAGAAGTAATATAAGATAGACTATTCAACATGAGTGTCGAAGGTAATCTAGTTTTGTGGTATAAGTAATCGAGAGGGCATATTGATCGACTTATTATACACATTCTATACGTTAGATGATACTACATCATTATGTCAATATTATCAAAGTTGCTTGATACATTATTATAGGTTAATCCATATTTTTACTCATTCATTGATAGAGGGTAGGTAACATCCTAAACACTCCTCTTGAAAAAAATGCTCCAACGTGTAATAACTCTTGTACTTGAATAGGTTTATTGAAGCCATCTAAAAACCGATGACCATTGGTTAGGTAGATTGGTCGAACACAAACTCCATTATGGAATATCTATATAATTAACCTTATTGGGAGGATAGGGTTAATCATTGTTAAAGAAATATATACAATAGTTATATTATGATATAACACTTCAAAGTGAATATTGATGAACATCTTTGTATAGTTTTCATTCGTGTACCATAAGTTCATCTTATAAACCCTCATTCACATGTGAGTTATAATAAGTTCATCTTATAAACCCTTATTCACATGTGAGTTATAATATTAACTAATGTGTGATAATGGAACGACAGGGTTATCGGATAGAGGACTATATTATTGAATTTAATTCCATAATTAAGCTCTCTATACTAACGTTTATGTCCTTTATATTACGCTTGACTATTAAACATCCTATTAAATTAGGACCAAAAATATATTATAATGATATATACATATCCCCCTACATCAAGTTAATCTTATTAAAGTTTAATGGCCATAATTAAGAGTTGATATAAAGGATATTAGATTTTTCCAAGGAGTGTAATATAGAAATAATTTATGGATGAATGCCTATGTTTTGATATAGGTATGGTAACTAAACTAAGTGTCTATATTTAATCAATCCTATAGTTTATAGAACAATCTATTCTCTCTAACTAAAATAGGACAAATTAACTCCTCCCTCAGAATTATTTCTCTTTTAGAGATTACTATAATATGTTAAATAACCAAATATAGACTAAATAAGGCCATCAATAAGTTGCATCCAGGATGATAATTAAATGTTCATCTCTGGAGGGATCACTTTATATTAGGAGTTAGGTCGTATTGGCTCATGGTGATAATATCCGATTTGTAACATAAATGATTGGGCGAATAATGATATATCATAAGATGAGTTCAATCCTAGTTCCTCAATTGGGGTCTTATCATAATAGTTGATGACAAAAGGAGAGGAAACCGTGGCATCACTCCTAATATAAACATGAGTATGTACGTAAAAGATAGTTCATGGCTATTAAGTAGATAATAGTTTAACTGATATAAACTATAAGGAATACTCCCCTATTGGGATGATAGATTTAGCATAAATAAAATGCGTGTGAATGACAAGATTCTTCAAGCATGAGCTATCTTTCCCTCAAAGGGTATATAGATTAGGCTAATTAAATAAGGATATTGTTATAGTTGCTATCAAATGCATATGTTAGAATATGGAGTTTATATTTGATAGGTTCATAGTAAAGATCATAACATTAATAGAAGAACGGACCTTAGATATGTTAAGCATTATATTGAGTAAGGCCCACAAGGAGGGATTCTCCTATTGAATTCAACTCTAAAACCCCCTCACTACTAGGTTATATTATGGATATATGATTAAATATCTACTTCATTATTGTGCTCAATGTTATCTATTAAATTTAAGAGGATTAGTTTAGTATACTCCATTCTAATTGGCACCAGGTTAAATACTAGGGCATTTTTTAGGGAGAGTCTTATAATATACCTTATTCAAATATCTCCCTAGTATCCAAAGAGATGAATTCTAAGCATCTCCCTATGTTATCAATAGATTGTCTTTTCGGACAAGAATTTATAAAAGTACTCATCTAAGAATATTGATTCATTGAATATTTACAATGAGATATTTATAAGGTAAAATACCTCTATAAAATAAGTATTTTGGGCAATTAAAAATTATCTTTCCATATGAAGATAAGTACCTTCTATAAACTTATAGAGATAGTTCTCCTGAACTATTAATTAGTAAGGTCCTATATACCCTATCTATAAGAGATATCTTTAAGGGGATTAATTGATTAACCCTTATTTATAAGAAATATCTTTAAGGGGATTAATCGATTAACCCACATTTTTCTGCATATACCCCATCCGTGAGTCTCTATAACCCTCATGGATGGGAAATATAATTAGCATGGTTCATAAGCAATATATTGAGTAAGGGCCACGATGAGGGATTCCCTATTGAATTCAACTCTAATACCCCCTCACTAACAGAGTTATATTATGGATATATGATTAAATATCTACTTCCTTATTGTGCTCAATGTTATCTATTAATTTGAAGAGGATTAATTTAGTATACTCCATTCTAATTGACACGAGGTTGAATACTAAGGCATTCTTTATGGAGTATTATAATATACCTTATTCAAATATCTCCTTAGTATCCAAAGAGATAAATTCTCAGCATCTCCCTATGTTATCAATAGATTGTCCTTTCAGATAGAATATGATTGAATTTATCACCGTGATGCATATGCTCCCTATCTCTCTCCATTCGAAATTACTACAACGTCATAATTGGTATAGTCAATAAATATATTCATTGGGATATTACATGGATATATCAACTCAATAATATGCAACTTAGTTATCGAGCCTCTTTGGGAATTGTTCCACTATCATAAGTTTAGGTCATGACTATAGGGCAACATCACCAAATTTTGACGTTGTAGTAATATAGCCCTTATTAGGGTTTGGTCCTCATAAATTCCTTAATATATCCTAATTATATTACTCAATATTCCCCATGTCTTATAATATTTGATTGTAGATATTATCCTTATCTAAGGCTAATTATCTCAGTAGAAAAAATAGGGATAAACTAAGGAATCTATTATCTATAGCTATGGATAATATCCATATCTTCCTCTTGGAATAGTACCCTCCGCTATGTTAACTCATATATCTTGTAACGGTTAAATTTAAGGATCCAAATTTTGATATCTATTAGTGTATGGGTTATTACTAGTCGGGTATATTACTATGAGTGGACCAATTTAAGCCTACAATTAATATCGACTAGCAATTAATTTGAGTATTTATTATCATTAATAGGGCATTGGCTTATAATTTCCTATCCATACATGAGTTTGTTAATCCATGGTCATTTATTACTATTAGCCAACATAATAGGGGGCCCTTATTTTTTCTTGTACTTATTGAATAGATTGGAGAATAGGTACCCTCCCTCATTACTAGATGTATATTGTTCGAGCTAAATATGAACATAAATCATATTTTCCTATTGACTATTTTGATTGATATTATATCTCTATGGTTATATTATGGAGGGTTTATAGTATTTAAGAAAATCATTAACTACCCTACTAATGTGTAGGCCTCCTCTGAATCATTATCCATAATGTTACAGCTTTAGTACAATCATATCCGTGTTTTTTATTAGATAGGTTGATGTTAAAAATACACCAATGACATAATACCCCACATAAATGAGTAATATTAGTCCTTAATTATGGCTTACCAATTACGATATATGCCAAATTAGTAGGACAAATTTATTGCCTCATGTGAACAATATCACTCCAATCGAAGGTTCGCATATCATAATCCCCTAACTATCAAATAATTGATCATACAATTTCATTATTAAGATTATTGGTGAATTAACATGGATGATAATTATACTAGGGTAATATCATACTTGAGCATAAAACTATTGATATCAAGATAACCTCCAGAGTAATATGTTTGCCCTAGTATCCTATTCATAAGTTTGCTTAAAATCTAAGGTATTCTGTAATGGAGACTGCCTATTACTAACCAATTAGAAGATACTCTAATGTCCCCCTTAGTTATGATATCTATTAAACCTTCCAACAATCCCTCATATAATGTCATTCGAATTGACAACATATCTAGTTAACCTATTATTGATTGAATCAAGTTATATGCTTATCAAATCATAGACTTTCGTATGTATACATGGATATTAGTTGATAATAAGATCCCAAGGGGAGAGGTTAGAATAAGGATTAATTTAATTGATTCCATATTGATATAGCCTAGTGACTAATATGAAAAAGCTACATGTAAACTAAATTAAGAGATGCGGATTCTATAACTATTCCATGCTAATCGTATTATCGATCGAACAAAATTAACTCCTATTTGATATTTAGAGGATTAATGCACATAGTTGAATTAACACTCATCATATTATGAGTGGGGTTAATACATTTCTAAAGAATTTATATCATCCATGCTTTGATATATTAACCCTCCGAGAGCACAATTCATATATTAGTTAAATATACATTGATAGATATCTAAAGTAAGGGAATGATATATTCTCACCTAATTTATAATAGTACAAACACATACATAGAGCAATGAAATATTAAATATTTTATATCCAATACTATGGGCAATTGGGTTATAATGCTTAGTAAACTTTATCGGATCATTATTTGTAAACCTTTACCTTGAGTAGGAGTTGATTATAAACAAAATACCCCATATAAATGCATATGTTAGAACTATACCCTAAATAACCTACCCATAGTTTTACAACTAGTAGAAATGAGGTAATATAAAGGCATATCTCTAAGCATTTTAACTTAACCATCCCTAAATCATAATTCATATATCTCCTTTTATACTAATAACCTTATATTATGAAGGTACCTAATTACAAACTATTCTTATATAAATGCACTAATCTCTAATATGATAATATATATCTAAATAATGTATTTTGGGCAATTAGAACTTATCTTCCCATATGAAGATAGGTACCTTCTATAAACTTATGGAGATAGTTCTCCTAAACTGTACATACAAAATCAAGTATTAAAAACATGTATAAAATCAAGTACTAATGGGTGTTCCTAAGAATAGGCCTGTTCATGTTTTTATGAATAGGGTGCCTTATATTTTTGCAATCTTTTCCTAGTTACATAACCTCAATTTTATCATAAAGGGTGTAACAATCTTTCGCATAATTGATCAATATTATACCATCATGGATAATATATTTAGATATAGTAGGAAGATATTATATCGGAGGAGTTATTGGTTAAGATGATATGGACTATAATGTATCATGATTAATTCAAGAATAGTTTATCAAGAACCACCGTGTCTTCTCTATAGAAGGCCCATACTATTAACATATTGTATCTATATTGAAAAAGGATCCATGATAGTATAATATTGATTAATTATCTAAAAACCTATGTAAGTAAAAATGGCCCTCGTAACTAGGTGAACAAGGTACGGAATAAATATAGGATTATTTTACAATGGGTTACCATTAATTGATATGCATATCAGGAGTAAACTTTAAAAGTTGGACCTAAAAGTCTCATCCTAAAGGCAAGTGTTAATATCTATCCCCTAATACAGCTTATCCTAAGCTCATAAATATAGGATAATATGTCTTACTAATAAATAATTATGCCCCTACTATAACATTTCCTGATTTATATATAATCCATACTTATTCGAATATTTATATTGTATACTCTTTATATGTTCATTAATATAAGAGGTCTTAAAATTAATTACTTAGGTCTAAACAAAGTTCTATTATCCTCTTAGATAATTATTCTAGTCTATAATATAGAATTTGTTAATGAGAATAAATTATGGTTCAAACATAGACTCCTATGAACAGTTGATATTACCAAAATTAGATTATTAGTCACCACTCTAAGGTAAAAATATTTAAGTTGATAGTAAATGGTCGGATATGTTCTATACTATTATAACTTAATTTGAGGGGGATATTAATTCATCCCTATCCTAGTGCTATCCATAACAATATCGATTTTTTTTTTAAATGCTTCTATGGAGAGACCATAATATCTAAAATAAGGGGATGACGATAAAGTTTAGGGATACCTCTTTGATAGTTTATCGATAGATATTATGGGGTCAATATTAGTTTACCCTTGAGGGATGTAGAGATTGGGATTCTATTTGTTGCATAACTTTATCGTCATCCCCTTATTTTAGATATTATGGTCTCTCCATAGAAGCATTTAAAAAAAAATCAATATTGTTATGGATAGCACTAGGATAGGGATGAATTAATATCCCCCTCAAATTAAGTTATAATAGTATAGAACATATCCGACCATTTACTATCAACTTAAATATTTTTACCGATAGATATTATGGGGTCAATATTATTTTACCCTTG